GCAGGAAAGGTGTTTTAAATATTTGGCTTGCCTAGCTCCGATAGTAGGCGCCATCACGACACCAGATGGTGGGAAATCTGGGTCGTGACAAGTTCCAATTCTGTCATCTGTGTACAAAACATTGTTAAAATCACCACATAATAACCAGCAATCTTGAATTGTACTCCCTAACTGAATAAGTGTCCTCCACAATTGACTTCTCTGGTTGCTGTCATTACTCGCATATATCATGGTTACTGTAGTTCTAAAGTTAGAATTTGGCTCTTGTACTTCATAGTGAATAAACTGATCCTCAATCTGTATAATCTGGATATTTACATTCTCTTTCCATAATAGCCAAATCCTACCATTTGGATGTGCATTGTAATTGCAGCATACATTCCATTCCCTTGCTACTTGACTGATAATTCTAGCAGATTTTCTCTCCTTTACTCTTGTCTCCAAACATCCCATTACATCTACCTTATACTTCCTCAGAAAAAGCCTAAGCTCCTTCTGTTTGTGGGGCTTATTTAGCCCCCTTATATTCCAAGTACAAAGGTTCATTTCTGGGTGAAGCTGGATGGGCCAGCGTCCCCTTGGAGTGTTTGTGGATCATTCATCTGTAGGACCTCAAATCTATTGGCAGAAGTAAAAACTATAGATGTCTCTATAGCTTTTCCTTTGTTAACATACTTTGTCCCTTCATCATTCCCCATCTCTCCTTGAGTGCCCTCAGCAGCTACATTTTGTTTGGGTGCTTCAGTTCCCATTCCATTTGGTACAGGATTGGTATGAGTATTCTTCTCTACTTGCATCCTAGCATTCTCATCATCTTCTCCTCTATTCACCTTTGGTACCCATTTTAAGTTCTCCTTGTTCTTGTTCTTCTATTTCTGTGGTTGCTTCCTAATTTCTTCTCCCCCTTCCTGATTGTTCTTCAACCAACAGTCTTCAGAGTTATGACCAAACCTTACACAATCACAGCAAAACTTTGGTTTCCAATCGTACTCAATTTGTTGATTGATTATCCCTCTAGAAGTTTGGAGATTCACACTGTCTGGCAGGGGTCGGGATATATCATCTTCAACAATTACTCGTGCAAATGATATCTTCTCTAACTCAGCAGTAAATTTATCAGTGTACAGAGGTTTGCCCACTGCACTGCCTAATTTGCTCAATACATCTGTGGCCCAGAATCTCAATGGTAGACCTAGAAATTTGACCCATAGTGGAATTTTATTCATACAGCTTGGGTCAAATTTGAAATCCACACTCCAACACTGCAGAATAAGAGGTTTATTGTGGTATGTATATGGACCATTATGAAGAACTAGGTCCCTATCTACCATATTTTGGAATCTAAACACAAAATATCCTTCATCACGATAAAGTATTTGAGGTTGGTCAGCGAAATCCCAGACATTTGCAATGTAATTTTCCATCGCTTTCTCATATGGATTATCCCCCAAAATATAGCCAATTAGGGTTGTACTCCAGTAATTCTCTTGTTCTTTTGTTTCTTCATCATCAATTTGCACTACAACAGTAGCATCGCGAATAATAGAGGGTATGTAATTCAATGCCTTACCCTTTTGAGAACTCCTATTGTAATACCTAGATGGTACCGCTTCCTCCTCTTTGTTCCCAATTTTTCTGGTAGGTTGCACATTCCCTGTTGCTGAGAAATTCAGTCTGCGATGAACTACTTCAGTGTTTTCCTTCATAGCAGGTTTCATTGTAGATTCCCCCTTTTTATTCTCACTTTCCTCCACGATTGGTTGAAATTTTTGTGGTAGGAAGCTTCCAAACGTCATAGGCCTCAATTCCTGTTGAAACCCAGTATCTGGCGTTACTATCTTCTCACCTTGAGCTGGGTTTTGAAACACTATAGGGGCACTGCCCATACCAGTTAACCACCGTCCTGTTTGTACCTGAGCTGGTGTTACTAAACTTGCATCATTATCCTTCTCTCCCAATGGCGATGGGAGCTTCTTCCGTTGTCTAGCCATGGCCGATGACGTATGTTAGCTAACCTTGCTAATCATGCGCCGAGAGTTTTAGGTGCCATTTTTTCAAAAACATCCTCTTATTTTTTAATCCTTATTAAATTTGTCTAAAAATCTATTTAGATTATGTCTTAAAAATACTAAGTAGAAATATTTCTATTTAAATTATTTCTCCATATACTATTTCTAAGTGACATTGTCTGAATATTGCACTTGGCTTAATGTCATGTCTCACTACATTCCTTTTAATATAATATAATATATATATATATATATATATATATATATAATATATATATATAAGTTTTTTCTTATTTTATAAATAACTTTATACTTTATGTAAGATCTTATTTTACTGCTATAAATTAATTTTTGAAGTCAATAAATCTTTAATATCTTAAGTAAGTTTTATTTTATATTTTAACTTACTTCAAAGTATAAATAGTCATAGGTTATCTCAATTTACGTCTTTCTATATTTTTT